TAAAATATAAAAATTCATGTAACAGTGTTTTCTGAATTTCAGATTGAGATAAAAAAAAATCAGTCTGGATAATTCTAGTTCTGCAAATACATAGTTAAGTCTTTCATTGTTGTTAGACATTACAAATATAAAATAGAAAAGTTATTTTTTGAGTAGAGGAAAGGGAAACAAAAGGTAAAACAGCCCTATTGTCACATCAATTCAATTTCCAGCAAAGGTATATGTTGAATTTCTCTACAGTTTCTCTTTATTACCTGCTCTTCTCCTTGGATCTTTTCTACTGGGTAGTTATAATTTAGAAAGCCCCTGCAGGGCTCTTGTGCTTCTGAAAAGAATGTGCAATAGAGTATGTCACCCAAAATAATTATCTGCAACTACCATCTTACCTTAGGCTACGTGTCAATATGCACTCACTTGGTACTCAGAGACTGCATCTAATTTAGACCTGAAGGCAGACACACGTGAATAATACTTACAGCAACAAAACAGGATTGAAGCTACAGTGGAACTAATTTATTAGTTAAAAAGAGCATCAACTGAAGAATTACAGCACCTTTCATAATCTTGGTACTGTAATCTTTTTCATTTTCCTCAGGATCCAAGAATGAAATTCTGTGGTGTCTTAAAAAAAGTAACAGAAGAGAACAAAAGTACAAGCCTTGTACCATTTAACTTGCTTTCTTAAGGTATGTGTGAGATGGCCAGGGTCTTATTCAGGCACAAATCAAAAGATGTTCTGAGGCTAAAGGAATTATGCTAGTAGAAAAATGTGCATGAAAGAGGAAAAAAATTAGGTCATATAATTATAAAATAATGGCTATGAACTATAAACAAAGTAAATCAAAGGGACATTATGATGTAGAAGTTCCTATGATAGCTGTACCAGAATTTTAGATAGAAGCTGTTACATATATCTTTATTTTAATATCTTTATTGATGGTTTGGATAACAGGTTTGACTGCACCCTCAGCAAGTTTGCAGACAACACCAAGTTGGGTGGCAGTGTTGATCTGCTTGAGGGCAGGTAGGTTCTGCAGAGGGATCTGGACAGGTTAGTTTCATGGGCTGAGGCCAATTATATGAGGTTAAACAAGGCAAAGTGCAGGTCCTGCCCTTGAGTCACAACAACGCCATGAAGTGCTACAGGCTGGGGACAGAGCAACTGGAAAACTGCCCAACAGAAAAGGACCTGGGGGTGCTGGTCAACAGCTCACTAAACATGAGCAAGCAGTGTGCCCAGCTGGCCAAGAAGGCCAATGGCATCTTGGCCTGGATCACAAATAGCATGGCCAGCAGGACTGGGTCAGTGATTATCCTGTTCTACTTGGAAGTGGTGAGGCTGCACCTCAAATCCTGTGTTCATTTTTGGGCCCTTCACTACAAGAAGGACACTGAGGTGCTGGAGCATGTCCAGAGAAGGGCAGCAAAGCTGGTGGAGGGGCTGGAGCACAAGTCCTATGAGGAGCGGTTGAGGGAGCTGGGGATGTTTAGCCTGAAGAGAAGGAGGCTCAGGGGAGATCTAATCACTCTCTACAGCTACCTGAAAGGGGGTTGTAGCCAGGTGGGGATTGGTCTCTTCTTCCAAGTGACAGGTCAAGAGGAAATGACTTCAAGTTGCACAAGGGGAGATATTAGAAAAAAATTTCTCACTAAATGGATATCAGACATTGGAACAGGCCATCTAGGGAAGTGGTGGAATACCCATCCCTGGAAGTGTTCAAAAGGTGTGTGGATGTGGCACTTGAGGACGTTGTTCAGTGGTGAACATGGCAATGCTGGGTTAACAGTTGAACTTAGTGATTTTTGAAGTCTCTTCCAACCTTAATGATTGCATGATTCTATAATTCTATATATTTGCCAAATGCATAAGGTAAACAGCAACATACAACACAAAGTTGCAGAACACTAAATGCATTTTATGTGGTATTTGACTCCACAGAATTCATGTGTGTTGGAATGCATAAAAAGTTAAATAGCTTTGCCGTGACCCTTGTGAAAAACAGGAGAAAACATCAGGTGAAGAACTGTATTCTCTATCATGTACCCAAAAGTTTCATTCTTGCTGCACCTTGCTTCTCAGCCCATAGCTGCAATGAGGGACTTGCACCATTTACTTTGGAGCAAGCAGGTGTATAATCCTCCTCTCACCTGAGAAAGGTGAAATTACCCTTGGTAAAGTTCATAGACAGACCCAGTATTTCCTCAGAATAATTCCTATTCACCCTGTCTCTTTGTCCCGTGTGTGATGGAGATGAATATTTGCAAATATTTTGTAACTCATAGATGGGTTTAAATGGATGAAAAGCTTTTGAGGAGAGTTGATTATGTGAGTGAGTTCCCACAGCTAAGAACATAGCTTGCAGTTCTATCCTAGACCAGCTTCAATATTTTCTTGGCTCCAGCCTGAAGCCATTCACAAAATGATCATTGTGAAGCAGACTCCTGTGCACAATACTGACCTGTTTCTGCCCTGCTGGCAGGAAAACACACTATTCCCATGAAGACATAATATCACTTCAAGAAACTACACTGAACTTCACAATAATATCAATAAATTTCTTAAGTATATTTTTTGTGTTCCTTTATGATCTCTACCCCACAGCTTTTTAGTGTATTGCACTTCATGGAACAGAAAGCTTGGAAATAATCACACAGCTCATGAAATCCACTTCCGCGAAGCTGCAGCCTCCACAGCACAGTCATTACATATCACTGACCACCAAACACATCAGTAGGAGTTTTAGAGTTGATGGAGGAGACCAACAGGCCAATTATATTGACCCACAGGAAGCTGGCAAGACTGACGGCAATAGCAGTGCTTTAAACTTGTACTTCAGAGGAATTTGTTAAAAAAATGCCTTGTTATATACCTATGGAGCTCAATACTTTGGGACTCCACCACAGAAGAAACATTTACACAGGACGCTCAGTGAATTGTGTAGCAACTTATACAGCTATAGAAATTTATAGGTTGAATTCTTAATTTCAGTTACAAACAGTTTCTGACTCGTGGGTAAAGCCACATAATTTTGAATGGTAGGAGTCCATAGAAGGCAGGAGCTAACGTAAACAATTATTACATTATTAATGCAGCCTAAACAAAGTTATTCTTTCTTTTGTGAGGTACTGAGTACTAGAGTGTACAGTAGTATCGGGCATACGCTGTGGGAAAAACTTTTTCAAATATTCCTTTGCTCAAATAGCTTTACAAAACTGACTACCATCCAGCCCTCATTATATTACTAGGATAATAATTCAGCTAATATTCAATTTAATCAAGTTTATTTGTACATCTGTTAAGAGGCTTTTTTTTGTCCCCTTTCCATAACTTCATTATTGATAAAAATTCATTAGTTTTGTTTATTTCAAAATGTAAAACTCTCAGGACAGAGAAAAAAGTAAATTTTCATCAAGAAGTTTCACAATAATGAACAATTTTCACATAAGTTATTCTTCTGGGTCACAATCCCAAGTAAATTTTCTCAGTCGACTCATTAATATGAGGTGACTATTAATGTTTGCTACCAATTGAACAAACTCATCAAAAAAGTTTTGATCATACAGTTGAAACTTAGTGCTGAGCAAAATTTCTGTTATGATTAAAAGATTCAAACAATTCAAGTAGTCGTTGGTCACTTAATTTCCTTTGCAACAACTTCACTTGCCTGCTACAGAAAGCACAAAACTACACTGAATAGTGCAAGGACATCTCCTTGAACAAAACACTTGGCATATTACAGGTGCCACAAGACATGCTAAAAGAGACTAGCAACAGTAATCACAGTAATAACAGATCTATTGCCTTAGGAAAACACAGTTTAAAAAATCTGTTCAGACCAGTGTGCAAGAAGCTGTAAATAATGCACTGATGGCATTACATGGCCTATTGCTTGGAGAGCATCACTCCAGGAAATGTCTTCTAATAATGTCATCCCACAGACTGACTCTGCTGCCCTGCTTTTATCACTTGAGTTCTTTTACTTTACTCGTCTATATGACTTTTACTAAAGTTGTAATCTCCCTTTGAATATAATTGAAATTATTCAATCTGTTTTTCCTTTGAACCCAAAAGGCAGAAGTTATAAAACTTAAAATTACTGAACAACTATGACAAAAGAACAACCCATCTAACACAAATGTTTCAGTTTCTACAATCAATCAGAAAAATAGACTTCCACAGCCTGCAACATTGAAAATGAATATGCCAGATCTCTGGCTCCTACAAAACATCTTGTTGTACTGTCCATTACTACTATATATATGACAGATGGGGTCAGTACTGTACTCCAGATTTTATCATTAACAGCCTCCATATACAATTTCAGCTTTCAGAGGTAAGAAAAAGTTTCTTTGCAAAAAGAAACAATCAGATCTTACTTAAGCATTCACGACAAAGCAATAGAAAACAAAAATATGACCTTTTTTGTTTAATTTGGAATTCAGATGAACGTCTCCAGTATTATATGGGAACAGCTGCAACCTAAGTTTTTAATAATAGACTTCTCTAAATGAATAACAGCATTACAGTTTGATTTGGTACAATGTCAAGGACAAACAAAACCTACTCTTTTTCTTCTGTATAACATTTGACACATAACTGTGCTGGGTATTTTTTTAGATTCATTACATGAAAGATAACCACATCTATTAGATGAGCCTTGGTATATTACATTACATTTACTAACTAAAGTCCAAGAAAAAATACTTATGTTTTCCTCACATGAGTAATCATGTTCACTACACTGGGATTACAAAGAGAAGTATAAAGCCGTCAGAAGTGATCTATGTAATAAAGCAGCAGTTTATAGCACTAAACATTTTGTAATATCTAGATAACACCCCATACATTAAAAATTCTGTCAGATTCAACATCTTGGAAATACACTTAGATGGCACAACAGCAAAACAAACTTACTAGCCATGAAGGTACCAGCAGCAGATGATATTTCAAATAGAAAGGAAAGAGAAAAGAGTATTTTATGATATGAGCAAGTCCTTACCTAGTGGCTGCCCTGCGATGATCCTGGCGTTCTCTCCTGCCACTGCAGCCCTCGCATGCCTCTCACTCATGTACTGTACAAATGCATAACCTTTGTGAACTGAGCAGCCCACTATTTTCCCATACTTCGCAAAGATTGCTTCGATGTCACCTTTTTTGACAATGGCTGTGTTCAGATTGCCGATGAAGACTCTGGAGTTGATGGACTTTGGGTCGTTCTTATTGGTGACGTTGCTGGTCTGTGTTTTGCCGGTCATGGTTGGATCACTTGGCTTTAAACCTTAAACAAATAACAAAGAAAATTATGTTTCAAAGCATGAAGTGGCTCTGACTTTGCATGATTGTTCCAGCAATAATTCACTTTTATTTTTTGCTTTGGGTGAATCTAGACTACAAAACCTCAAACTTTCAAAAACATTATCATTAAAACCAAGATAGCACATTTTAAAATACTGCTTATAAGTCAAATTAAAATTTCTTATTTTTATATATATGAAATATACCAATACATCTCTTAATACAATGCTGTGATAGCGGAGCTTTACTGTAATCTTATGTGGATTTCTGCTTAGAAATACAATATTGACTTTTTAAGTACCTAGCCATCTGGAAACTGCAAAGCAAGAGAATGAATCATTATCTTCTGTCAAAGAAATGAACATTCAAGGCCATGTAGAGAGCAAACTCTTACAATGAAAGACAACACTGCTTTTGTTTGGTGTCAGTTAGAGCACATTTCTCACCAGTTAAATATCTCAGTGAGGTGTGCAGTGCAGGTAATATACAGTTCTTTACTGCAATCAATATGCTTCTATCAGAACAATTTTCCCTGTAAATCCAGTACAAAAAAGAGAAAAGACAGTGAATTATGTTCTGAGAATTAAAAAGTATGAAAACAAACCACTTTAACTGTAGGAACACAGGTTTTCTTGTTGCTTTGCTCTTTCCTCTGATGTCAAAAGTCTAAATGCATCCTGTCATTTTGGATGGAAATAACAACATTATTTTTTGAAAGATTTGGTAAAACGAAAAAATATTTGATGTTCATCTAGCCTCACACCTTTGAAGAACATGTGATTTTCTTAATATTCCACCTGCCAGCTGGTCCCTCCATTTGCATCAATTTACTTAGATGGAAATAAAATAGAAAGAAATGTCTGTGCTGGGTTTTCTTCAGCTTTAGTAGACCACAGGAATTTAAAAAATACATATAGCTTTAAATAGAGAAAATTTATTTTGTAAGAAGGAGGTCATTTATACAGCAGCCAAATATAGGTCATGTCTTATAGCCAAGAAATATGTTACTATTTTTTAACCTGTTCATACTTTTGGTCATGTCACAGAAACAGCTTGGGCAAGAAGAGAATTCAGTTAAATATTTCTCCCAGTTAAAGTTCAGTTCATTCCTCAGGATGAAAAGGTATAATGACCTCTGTTCTGGACACCTAAAGCTTGAGTCTAACTAGCAGAAATTTCATATTTTAAATCAGTTGCTACCATATATGAAGCTAGAAAAAGAAACCATTGTTACAGAGCTCTGCACAATTCCTGGTGAACAAAACAGCCACAGCCACAGTTATCAGCACTTTGACTACCTCCATCCCAGAGGATCCAAACCCCACCTTCCAGGTAAGAATACACAATGGAGATGTGTGGGCAGTCCTCCTGAGTCCCAGCAAACAGTCAGTTCTATTAAACAAATGTGTGCTATCACTTGCTTAACAACTTAGTATAGCAACTTACTTTATATTGCAACATTTAGAAAAAACATTGAAGAAAATAAGAAAAAAAAATTTTCCTGTAAGTTTATTGATTTTTAAACACATTCTGGAAACACAAGATACTTTATACATGCACAGATTTCATCATGGAGACCCAGGAAAACTGCCTAGACCACAAGCCTCTGAGCTTTATCGTAAGACAGACTCAATACCATATATTTCTAGATTGCTGTGCAGAATGTGCATATTTGAAGTCATGTCTATATGTAGTTAACCTGAATATTGTGAACATTCATAGCAGTAGGCTTGATACTACAATAGTTTGAAGACAAACCATTTGAAAAACATAAATATAATGCACATTAACCTCTATATTGGCATAAAGTGGACTGCTGATGTTTTCTAAGACCTAAAAAGTTTAAACCCATCTTAGATATACCTATATTTACACAGGAGTCAAAGTGACAATAACACAGCCACGTTATTTTAAAGAGCCCTAATTACACAAGCTGAAGAAGTAACATGGCAGAGTATTTAGGCATAAAGATAAAAGTTAATGCAGTCAGGTTGCTGGTAAAGAAGGAACCACTGGTATCCCCTGTGCTGCTGGGTTCAGTGTGCAAGTACCACTCTATTGGGAAAATCTGATATGGACACTATTGTGGTAATTTTTGTCAAGATCCAGAAAAAAACCCAGACTGCATTTGTCCTCATATAATTCTTACCTTCTTGTTAGTATCATCTGCATACATTTATTGACTGTGTAGCTAAACTCATTTTACTTAACTCATAGGGGTAGTTTATCACAAGTAAGATTACTGGTCTAGAAAGCAGTAGCCTTGACTGGTAGACCTGTCTCATCCACTAACCTGCTGTATCACTCTTAGTAAGATGTTTTTTAGTGCTTCCATTTCCACCTTTTAATCTTCAGACTTGCACTTTTTTTGGCTAAGGGCTGTCTCTCCATGTATTTTTATATAGCTTCTAACGTTATCACACAACCAACAGACTAATAATAAAAATGACAAGGAGAAAAAACTTACAGAAAATCTTCTGCCAAAAGTCAGGATTTGCATGAAAATAATAGACAACAAAACTCCTCATTTATTACAGCACAATTGTTTTCTAAACACCAGAGTACCACACTCTGTATTTCCTCTATTGTTTAGCCATTTAACATGGGATTTAGTGAACTATTCCTTTTTTATTTCATAAAAATCCTCATTTTATTTTTGCACAGTTTTTGTCTGCACTAATTTAAATAGACATTGAATATTTCTCTCTTGTAGTTGTTCTTTGCAATGCAAATTTACAATATTTTTATAACACAAAGAAAAGTAGTTGTCTGGTGGGTTCTCATATTCAAATGAGCAGTCAGGAAAACCTGCTGTGGAAATTCAAAGGGTAAGAATAATAGTAACATGAATGATTGAAATTTGATTGCCTTGCTGGTCAATGTACAACACTATTGTGAATATTTCATAAAAATTAAAGATCCATGGGAACTTCATCACAATGCAAAAGAACGTGGTTTTACACCTCACTTACAATATGCATCTGTGAATACTGAATTATATCTATCTTCTCTGACCTATCAGTAAAGTCACAAACATTGTAACTCATACAACTGCAAAAATAAATGAAAAAGTGAGAAAATCATATCTGAAATAATGTCATTCTTTGCAGCCTTTAATAAGGAATATTTTAAGAAATGGTTTACAAATAACAGCTACCTATCATTGCATTTAACCATATTTATTTATTCAATAAATTTCATTATATACTATAATTATAATATAACACATATATGTTATATATTATATATATTATGTTATCTATTGTATATACTGCATTGTTTTATGCAGTAGCTGTTTCAATTATTCTATTAAGAAGTAAATAGTTTAAGTCTTGGTATAATTAAAATACAAGTTATAAATTGGAACATTTCTATTACTACATAAATCTCTGATTTGAGGAGTAAAGTTTGCCAATCTTTCTTAGATATTAAAATTTATAACAAGTTAAATAGGAATGAAAAAGCAAATTACTAAAATGAGATTCCTATTGTCCAGGACACAAGTGAGAGGTTTAAACCAGTCAATTTAAAGTGCTGAAGAGGGGGGTAGAATTTAATCCTCAGCTTCCTTCAGTTTTCCAGCACTTCTTGGTAAAGTTTGGCTAAGCACCAGCATGACAAAGCATTGCTTTGTGGCTGTGCAATTCAACTTCTTTCCATAAGAGGAATATATGAATCCACACCTCCCGTTTCAGAGATGTCCCTCCTCAGGCACTGTGCCTACCCCAGAACAGTGAAGATGACAATTCCTTCTGCAGTTGTGCCCCAGTGCAGAGACAGCACAGGACTTAAAGAAAAGAGAAAGGGCACAAGTTGTCAAATTCTACATCCCAGTAACTCTTAGGTATTTTTTTAGGGAGTAGGGTCAAGAAGCAACCATAACAGTTCTCTTTGACCTCTGATTCCAGTGCTGCTTTATGTGTTTTACCAACTATTCTTCACAGAGTAAAATGCAAAATTTGTCTTTGAAGAGACAGAAAATTGGTCAAACTGCAAAAAAATTTGGGATATATGAAGACTTGGGGATCTAAGCTATTTAAAGGGATTTTCAGCCTCTCCCCAGGTGTACAATTGTTTCTTATCTCGAAATGTTGATTAGAACTAATCAAATTAGTAAAATTTCTACCAAATTCTGAAAATTTGTTTCTGAAATTATCCTTACGTATTTTCCTATACTGAACAAACCAGTGAGACTAACCTGCAAAAATTCTGTTAGAATCAGAAAATATCAGATAAATCTCTTTAGAAGAGGTTAGGAAATATTTACATTGAAAGCTTGGGGATTTTTTTTCTGATTTTTGTTTGTTTGTTTGTTTGTTTTGTTTTTTTTTTGTTTAAAATAAATTGTCTTCAAAAAGTTTAGTAATACTTTCTGGAGGTTCTATATATTTATGTGCTTTTATCTTGGAGCTGTTTTCTTTTGTCAATAAACCTTTTACTATTTTTGAGCAAATAGAAAAAGTGTACATAATTGAATGAACTACGTATTACTTGCAGTGACTTTAGGAAAAATTAGGGTCTGCTGAGGAAAAACTGAAAATGTTTAAGGAAAACACAAATTCTTTCTGAAAATTGAATAGAACTGTGTTATTCATATGGAATTTTAATATCAAATTTCTATGTACTTAATCTATTTACAAAAAAAAACAGGAAAAATTAAAACCACTCATTTCCTCTTCCCCCCTAAAAATAAAATTAATTTTGAGATCATGTATAGAGCTAAGCCAGAAAGTAATCAACACTCTGTATTAGATTTGTGTGGTAGCAAGACTAATTCTTTCTGGAGAAAGATTTTTAAATATAAAAAGTCCCATCATTGGCAACTTTCTTTAAGCACCATTAAATTCCAAATCTCAATTTTTACTATTTACAATAAGACATTTGCACACTGAGGTGCATAGTACACATTTGATAATTGCAAATTCTTCAAAGAAAGAAAAAGACCTTAACAGACACGTGGTCGAACAGTGATGTTTGTTTCCA